GATATTGTGTTAAATTGCTTTCCAATTTCAACTATCAGTGAATAAGTGTGTATATGGTCTTACTGCAGTAGAGATTACAAGTGTAGGAGAGTGGCTTTGAAGGAAGCATGTGACCATCTCTGTCCTTTGGCACTATGTGTCCTACTACTGCCATGTCTCCTCTTTTCAGTAAAGATTCTTGAAAAGAGTGGTCTTCAAGCTTGGGTTTATTTCTTCAATTTCCATTCATCCCAACTGACTGGAATTTATCTTCTAGCCCGACAGGACAATGATACTGATTTTGCCAAGATCTCTAATACACTTTTTCTTTCTCTTTCATGCTGGCAGTATTTGATGGTTTGGCTCCACCTTGCCCTTAATCCTCGCCCTCACTTCCATGAGAACCTCTCGCCTTATTTCCTTTATTTTTCCATTGGCTGTTCAGCTCAGTCTCCTTGACAGGCTCCTCCTCCATTGCTTCTCTGTAACATGGTGGTCTTCTTTTGACTCCGACTTCAACCCTTTGTCATTGCACACATCTGGGTAATCTTATCCAAACTGAAGTCTTCTACTCTCTAAACACTGATGATTCCCAATTTTATATCTTCATTCCAGATTTTCTCCCAATCCCTAAACCCTTGAATACCATGTATTCTGAGTATTTCCATTTGGATGCCTCATATGCACGTCAAGCTCAGTATGTTTACTACTGAGCGTAGATATATTTAAAACTGTGCTCCCCGTATTGCTGTCATTTATTCAACTCTTTAAGCTGGAACCTCCAGGATATTTCCTGGCACTTGGCTCTTCCTCTCTTTCTACATCCCTCTTCCTCCTCCTCACCCGTCTCTCCCTGCCCCTCCTCCCTCCTTTGCTCCTCTCCTCCAGCTCCTTCTCTCCTCTCTCTCTTTCTTCTTCCCCTTCTTCCTCATTCTCCTTCTTTTATTTCTTCTTCTATGTCTCTTCTATGTAGACAGTGCCATTGCGTGCCAGCTTCCCCTCAAACTCTAGTCCTTGCTTCCCTGTCCTACTCCTTTATATGATACCAACCACAAAAGCAAATACCTTAACAGGCTACTACTTTGTGGGTTTTATTCTTGAAATAAATATTTGAATTTATAATTTACTTTTGAGACTTCAGGCAAAATACTAAACCTCCATTTGCTTCAATTTCCTCTTCTGTAAAATGGGGATAGTAGCACAATTGTGAGAATTCAATACAGGTATTCGTGAAAAGACTCAGAGCAGTGCCCAGCACATGGTAAACATTATATGAATATAAGCTTTGTATGTGTATTTCTTAGCTGTCATTGTTTTCTATTACTGTCTAGTATTACTAGAATATCTATTATCTGTCTCCATGTTCATTACTAGAGATTTTCATTTCCTATTAATTTATCGAGTAATATTTAAGGTGGTTAGTCTTCTGAAAAAATTAAGCAAGTTTTTTATGCCCTTTCACAAGTAAAATTTTAATAATTAAAAGCTTTAAAATTCCCTTTATAAAATTGAATTTAATTTTCCAGGAAGGAGGAAAGATATTTGTGGAGAAACATTCCTAACAGCTCTGTCCCCTGGAGTTGGCTTGGCTTTAAAACATTTAGGAATTTTTGTACCTTGGTTAAATTATTGGTGGCTTGAAATTGATAATGGTCTGAGGCTTTACACCAAGGAAACTGGGTAAATGATACAAATCAGGGTCCATTTATTAGCATATCACTGTATAATTTTGCTAAAGACCAGGATTATTATGAAGTTTGACACAATGACAAACTATCTTACTGTAATTTTTAATGTATCATGGGGATAAATTGTGCCTGCAAGATTTAACAATTACTGTATAGATTAGAAGACAATATAATAATTACCCTGTAACCTGGGTGTTAGTCCATCATTGAACATCAAAGGAGGCCTCTATGTATATTTTGCACTGGTTCCTTTGTATGTTTATATGTGTTTTTGAGTGATTAGGGACCAAATGAATTTTTAAACCATCTTAAAAAGTAAAAGAAAAGTACTCTTGTTCAATAAAAAGAAAATATATATTCAAAAGAAAAATTTCCACCCAAATTTTAGAACCAAGTTAAGGCAAATTCAGAATTTAGAGTAATTCTTCAGTTTTACTTACAACTGGTAAAACTGGATAGTTGTTAAGATAAGTTATAATTCCCCTTTGAAAAACTGTCTCATCAAATGCTCACCTAGAGAAAAAAACCACATATAAGACCTTTGCGAAACTGACTAGTTCGTGGGTTCCACTTCCTGTTGTGAGGAGTAAAATGTACTTAAACTCACTAAAGTTCTCAAGATTGTTTTCATTGTCTCATGTAAACCAATTTAGGTTTCATATTCATGTATATTAAATGAAACTGAGACTCCCTGTAATTTGTTATTTCTATAATATGTAGTCTGTTTCTGGTCAGGGGAAACAGTTTGAGCCGTTATATAGATTTTACAATAATTTGCCTTAGGAGAAGTACTCTCAGAGGACGGTTGACTCAATGACTAAACTCCCCTGCCCGCCCCCCCCATAAAAAAGTCTGAATAAAGTCCTTTCTTGGTGTTGGGTGCTTACTTTGTTTGAGGTCTAGTCCTTCTGCTTAGAACTCCCACTTCCCATCCAGCGTAGGCACAAGAATCTAGTAGACCGAAGGCTGGTCTTGGGAAAAATTGAGACAAAGCCTACAGTTAGATTTGGGGCTTTCTCTAGAGTCAGACTTAAGGGTGGATGGTGGAGCCGGAGAGCCACCAGTCCCACTGGTAGCTCATAAGGGATGGGTGGAGGAGATTCGCTGGTTCCCAGGCAGGACAGACAGATGAATGCTGCCTCCCTTCCCACATCCTACGCCTGCCCTCTCGTGACTCTCCTCTTTCTCCTTCTTTTAAAAGCTGCTCTTTTTGTACAAACTAGCGTGATTTCACCTTGTTCCTCTGGGGCCAGAACCCTCTAGCAATGCCCCTGTCTACGACTCCCTTTTCATCTTATTCATCCAGTTCTTAGCTTGTCTTCACTGCTCTCTGCGTATTTGTGGATGCTAGATTTTCCCAAATCATTCCTACTATCTAAATTCACTCGCTCTCTTCTTTGCCTTTAGTCCTAACTCTTGGCTAAATTTTTAGCTATCCAAATATCATACATATTTGGGCTAAAATACTTTGTTTATAGGTACTAATCGGGTTTTACTGATCTCAGATAATTGGCGTATCTAAAAAGACCCCAGGAGACCCTCTGAGGGCATGGTGGGGATTTTAGACCAAGAGGATGGTCACGGTGGGGGATATTTTGTGAAGTGGGACTGAGACTAGGTCCTGGTCATGATAACACACCTGAATTTTAGTCACGTGTCATGTGACTATAATGTGTCTACGCTTTCCTAAAATTTAGGGCCATTATTACCTTTGGTATGTCCTTTTTCCACATGGATGATTAATTTCTTTGAGGATAAAATTTTATTCTAACATTCATAAAATAAAAGTCAATCCGGGGATTTCCCAGGAAATATAATTTAAGCACTTTAACTTCATCCTCATTACTGAAGGAAATACAAGTCCTACTTATCCTAAAAATATCAGTATGAAATTTTTATTAGATGTGAAGTATGTGTTTATATTTATAATCGTACAATATCATGTTACATAAAATCATATCAAGCAATGTTTTTTAGTTTTCAGAGTATACAGTCTTGTTAAATATTTATGAGATCTATAGGACAGGAATTATTATAAATATCATGATTTTACAAACGAAAAAGCAGATTTGATTGGTAAGGTGACTTTTTCCTGGGTAACACAGCTACTAATTATGACAGCTGTGAGTTGATTTCAGGCCTCTGGAGTTGAAAACCCCATCCTATTTCCACTATATCATATTCCTTCTTCAAACATATAGAGCCATAAGCAATAGCCATTCCATCAATAGTCAGATGTGTAGAATACTAGCCAGTTGTATCTAGAATAACATTATAAAATGCTGTAACAAGATCGCATACCGATTTTCAGAATTGCTTTTCAATTATATGCAATTTTTCGAATTCTCAACCTGTTAACATAAAAGCTTAAGTCATTTAAACCTGAACAAATTCAGCTTAGATATTGTAGAGGAAAAATGGAATTTCTTTGGTCTAAAACCTCGCTCTCTTTCTCTCTCCACACACACACACACACACACACACACACACAACACACATAGGCAGCCACATGAAAGTATTTTTGTTTTCTATTTTTGCTTATGGTCTAATTTTACACAAACTGTTTAAAATGTATTGTGAAAAATGTGTATTTCAGATACATTTTCTTATGTCTGATTTGAGTATCTGAAGAGCTAGTATAAAATAAAAGTTGGTTATTAATATACCTTCCATAAAACATGTGAGAAATATTCAGAGATAATTAAAGGCAGAATAAGAAACTTAAATTTGGCTGTAAATAAGAATTTCCTGATAAGGAGGATTGATAGTTACTTAGAGCTCACTGAGAGAAGTTGTGGAATTTCTTTTTCTGGGATATTTAATTCTTGTGGTTCAGGTGTAACCTTGTGTGGCAGCAGGACCATGAAGTTCATAGTCCAATGTGAACTTGTCATATTTTGAGATGGTAGCAATTATCTTCCAGGTTTATTTAAATAATCGTGTTATTTAGAAATCGCAAGAAAAGAAGCAGGCTATATTTTTTCCTCTCTCACAAAAAATAAAAGGGGAAACATAGTATTATTTTTAAGAACTTCGGTGAACCGGTCCTGTCATAACTAAAGTGGTAGCGCGGGAGCTGCCTGTGGGTGGAAACAGGAAACATTAGTGATAAATGCTGTGTGACATATTTTTTTCAGGTTCAGCTCAATGTATACCGATTCTGATTAGCACATTTCGTGCCTCACCGAGTAGCTCCCCTTTAGCTCTGCCTGGAGAGTTTTTTTTAGCTTCCATCCTGCTCATAAACACTGCCACCTCCTCCCTCCTTCTCTCTTTACAAATGTTACAACACAATCAGAAATTTCCTCTTTTCTTCCGTTCCTGCATTTTCAGCAGGTTCCCTTGCGTCAGAAGCCGAGAAAGAAAACTCAAGGTAATTAAATCTCTTTTGTTTCTTTATTCCCTTTTTGTGTGCGTGAGTGTGAATTTTCTCTTGGATGCCTTCTTTGGGATCGGATTTTGGTCTGTCTTCGCGTTATTATCAGGCAGATACATTTTGGGTGATTTTTGGATCGATTTTAAGAAATGACGACATGCTGTTCATTTGGATTAATCCCTCGTGGTGTGTCAATAGAGCTTAGAAAAACTGGCACCGAGTCGGGAGGTGGCTGTGTTTTCAGGTGGGCATTAACCCCTCTCCATCTATTGTATAACTACTGCTATTATTGTTCAAAGGAGCTGTGTTAGTGCAATGGTGTGCCTGCCAGCTGTAGGATTTTAATTTTTGCAACTTATTCTTGTTGAATAATATACTTAGACTAATACTTTTATATAAGTCTCAGTATTTCTTTGGCTGTATCTTGTACTGTCTGAGCACCAAATGAATGTTTAAAAATAAAGTAGATAAATTATTTTTTTGCATTCACTTTGTGTAAATCTCGGTAAAAAATCCAAATCCCGGGAGGTAGACAATTAACAGTTACTTTTCACTCTGTCGCATACATCAGGGCAATATGTTACCTACCTTTTCACGTAATTGTTGCAGGTTTGTTCATGATGAGTCGGAGGAGGATATCATGTAAAGACCTGGGACATGCTGACTGCCAAGGGTGGCTATATAAGAAAAAGGAAAAGGGAACTTTCCTCAGCAACAAATGGAAAAAGTTCTGGGTGGTGCTGAAGGGATCTTCACTGTACTGGTACAGCAATCAAATGGTGAGTCCACTGTCTTCCCCCTTTTCCCAGCCTCTTTAACAAAGAGTGGATTAAAGATCATCATGGAGCAGGTTATCTCCATGGAAAAGTTAATTTTGATATCTGGGGCTTGGAACAGAGCAAATAAATAAGTTCTGGAAACTGTTTCTGGTCTAGTAAATATGTAGGCTATTCTATTGTATTTTATGGAAGAGAAAACCATCCTGCTTGACAAGTCTTTGCTTGGGGAGGGGTGTCCAAACGTATATACTTACTAATAGAAGCTCTCAGGGTCTATTAATGTTACTTTTCCATGAGAGAGTCTAATCGTTTCAGGATTTATGTGGATAGCCCTTGATATGGGAACTTTATATTGTTAGGTCTTTACTAGAAAGGGATTCAGCTTTATGACCTATTAGGGATGTAAATCAATTCAGTTGGCAGAAGCTATTTCCATTTCTCCTCCTTTACTATCTTCTTCTCCTCTGACTGTCTTTATTAGGTGGGTTGGTTTTGGAATCTCTAACCTGTGTGCCAGCATCATGTTGGCGACCGTCGTCCCTTGTTCCTTGGCATGTTTGGTGATGGTATTAAACTACTGCTGTTTGGACCACACTTGATGAGAGAGATGTCTAATTTATTCTTTAGAAGAGTACCCTTTTATGGTCTGCTTCACAGCTAGTTTTCTGTTGAAAAGGGCTTGAAATAAAGTTATTGTTAGAAGATGTGCTGATCTTTCATGGCTTGAAATGTTTTGAAAATGATGATATTGTTGAATATTGAATGAATAGAGACTTTTCACATAGGCCTCTCTCCACCAACCCCGGGGTAGCCAATTGCTGATCTCAAGAGAGCTTGCGTTTCTCTTTGAGGTATAGTGAAGATCAACAGTGGATGTCCTTTCATCAGTTAAGGGGAATTTATTTAGAAATTGCCCGTAAGCCAGAACATTCTTTATATGTGATACCATTCTTTTAAAATGACTTATGTATGCCCATCACTCAAGCGACAGAGCTTTAGAGCATGTAACTTTATAAATGTGAAATAGGTGCTGAGTATAGTTTGTGGGCAAAATTTTTAGTTGATATATTTACATTCACTGGCCACTAATCAAAAATTTGTGTTACCCACATGCCTCTAGGCACCTGTCCTTTAAAGATTTGGTTAAACTGGACCCATATTCAGTTTCAGTGCCCTGGAAGAAGCGTTGCCCCCTGTGCTTCTCTCTCTCCCCCCTTCCTCCTTGCCTCCCTGTTCCCAAGCTTATTGCTTTGGTTTCACCCCATGCAAAACAAAATTTTTCATCGAGTTGCATAAAAATATATTTCTTCAGCCTTTGGTGAGTTTTATCAACTTTATCAAGGATTTGGAAGGTTCACAAGAAAGAATCATCTTGCAGAGGCGCAGTCTTCCACTATCTCCCTTTCATCTCTTTCTTTTCCCCTCCTGGATTTATTTATCGTCTTGTCTAGCATGGAATACTTTTATCCAAATTAAGGCAACCTGGGCCTGTGGTCTCACCTTCTATCATAAAGGATTCTTCCTAAACAAATACAGCTTCCTTCTTAAGAAGAATTAAGATTAATATAAATTTCTCCTGCTTGTTTCATATTATTTTAGGCTCTTGCCTTTGGGTAATTGTGGCAAGTGATAATCTGCATCCTTTGTAAAATGAGAGGACTTACTCATTTACCTTTTAATAGCTCTCCAGAAATTTCCAGAGGCTGTTGGGTGCTGATGGAGCGTGGCACATCTGTGGGAAGTAACAAAGCTCAGCTGTAGGCAAGGCACTGATTTTCTCCTTCAATCAAATTATTCAGCAAATATGTTCCTGGTGCTGTCCCTGTCTTCACAGAATTTGAAGGAAGCTCCTCTGAGCCATACATGCTACAGATTGGGCTTATTTGGCTTCATCAGCTTATTTGGCTTATGCTTCTTAGAGGAGCAATGAATTAACTATTTTAGGCATTAGGAATCTCATGCTTCCACAGGGAGCAGCAGTGTTGACTGAGACCACATTAGAAAGAGGAAGAAGAGAGAGCATCAGACACACTCCAGCAGCCCTGTCCTGACTTGCTTTCAAGCTTTCACTTAAAGTGATATTCAGGTAGCAAATCATGTACTTGAACACACTTGGATTAGCAACATTGAATGGAGAACATGTTTGCTGTTATCTGGCCACAGAATTATCCTATTCACTTAGTAGTACGTAATAGAACAACATGTTCAACTCCCCAATTCTATGACTGTGTTGTAGAGTGATTCTCTCTATGTGCACATGCACATGCATGCCCTGACATCCTAATTATATGTTTGTTATGGGGAAAAAAGGCTATTCAATGATCACTTAATTAACAGTCATATTCCTGCTATCTGTGTGAATGTCAGCTGTGAAATAAGAGCCAAACACATATCCTCAAGCTAAGAACATCTATTTACTCTCTGCCACTTAAGGAATTCAGTCGACAAGTAGGTCCCAAGGCACCTGCGCCTAATGAGCAAATGTCTTCTTATTCTACCTTCCGTAATCCTTATTCATTCTTATGTGGCCTGATGCTGAGAGAGAACGGAGCCAACAGCATCCCAGCAAGAGTCACCAGCAAAGGCATGTTGAACACCTACTGCCTGCCAGGGCATCTTCTAGCTACCTTTTACATATGCTCTTTTATACTCCTCCAAAACACCCTCCAAGGTAGTAACTGTCATCATGTTTTGAAAGTTGGGAAGGCTGAGATTCAGAGAGATGGTGTACCTTTCCCCAAGTGACGCAAGTACTAACTGGCTGAAAATAGATCACCTTCAGTCCCTTTGACTCCTCAGCCCAGGATTGTTGCCATATGTCAACCTGACCCCACACAGGGACGAGGATAAATGGCATGATTAGATCACCTTGTTTCATGCCTTCGATAGCGTTCCGAGAGAACAACTCTGGAAATGAAATCTCGGGCAATTCTCACGTGAAAGTACGAGTGATGTCATGAGGTCCCTTTGCCTGTCTCTGTTGATCCCTGACACCACCTGAGGAGACCACGTCGCCCTCACCTCTCTCAGCATTCTTTTGCTGTTATTATTATTATCCAGGAATTGACGCCTGGTGTACCTTCTTCTTTCATGACTCTTTGCTGCTTCAAACAGTACTACCCGGATTTCCTTGAGAAAGGTCATGTGCAGACACTCAGCCCCCACTTTTCACACCCCATATTATGTGCTTAGAATGTGTTACAGCACCCAAGACTGCACGCCAAGTCTTACGAAACCATATTGAAGTTTAACAGCCATAAGAAATCCAGGCTGTTTCAAATCCTGGATTTGAAATCCATGCAATTGTTTGCCCTTGCCCCTAGGATAAAGTACACATTCATTTCCTTGCTCATGAGTCTCCTAACTTATATCTCTCTTACTTTCCCACCCTCCCCACCTCCACCCAAGCTTCAGCTACAGAACTTCTTTTAATTCCTTTTTAACATCAAATATGCTGGCTCTCTTTAAGCCTTTGTGTATGTTATTTCTCTGCCCACAAAAATCTTTGTCCCTATGCCCTAAAGTCTTGCCCACCCGATCCCGTTGAGGTGGTCTAATCTATCCTTTGACCTCTCTGCTCCCATAGCAGCCTGTACTTTTCTTCTTCTTATGCTCATCTTCCTCTTTGGTACATGTTTGTTAGACTTGCTGTTTTCCGTAATTGATAATAGTCTCTGTAGAGCAGGACCACAAGTACGTCTTTAGTACCTTGCACATGTCTGACACTTACTAGGTGCTCAATTCCTATTTGTTGATTTCATAAATAAATGAGATTTATGAATCATCAACATTTATATTACCCATGGGAATTTTGAGACATGAGATGGTGAATAAGGGCTACTTTTGACAGAAAATAATTTTCCAGTAAAGAGTTTTCCACTTCTATTCTTAAAAATAGATATAGGAAAAGGTGCAATTTGAAATTTACCAGAAGGGCTTCATGGTCCCACATAGGTCCCATACAGCTGCTCCGACTTTGCTAACACCTTATTGGGGGTTATTTTAATAGATTCTTTCTAATCATGACCTCTGGCTGAAAACAAGGGCCTATTGACCAAGATCACCAGGGTGGGGACAGAGATGTTGAAAGAGAGATAGAGGGTTTCCCAGGGAAATTCTCTCCACCCTGGAATTTCACTGGCTTACCAGGCACAGCCGGAGACGGAAGTTTGGGATCAATATCTTCTTTCTGGTGAAGGAGAAGAATTATTATTTTCCCTCAGGCATGTCACTATGAAAGAGTGACAAGAAAAGCCCTTAAGATGTTATTGCTTATTCTTTAAAACTATTTTATATTTTTAAGTTTTTAGATTTCTCCCGTTTGCTAGAACTTATTTTTCTTTTCTAAGCATTCTTAATTAAGATCTCACTGAGTTCCTTGGAAAATATATTATGGATTTTATTTATAGCCAAGACAGATCGTAAAGTAAATGTATATTATATAACCCACTTAAAATTAGTGTGGTTCTGAAATGTTTCTATTTGGAGAATTTTTACTCCTCTTACTGGTGTATTTGTTACATTATCCAAGAGTGTATTAAAATACATCAAGGGAACATATATAGTGTACTGGTATGTATAACTTGGAGGCGTTGTCTAAACAATTTGGGTTTTCATGACAAAACGTAGCTTAATATTATTTACAGATAATAGATTTTTAAAAATCTCTTTAAGTGAGCCCAATGTGAAAAGTTTATTATCCATCCATTTATCCACTTATCCACCCACCAACAAATGCTTCCGACCAGTGTTTATTGAGGACTTAAAAATAATTTGGGCTAACTGTTGTAACTGCTATTATAGGATTAAAAAAATAAAAGACTACATTTCTTTTCTCTATTAAGAGCTCATAGATGGGTGGAGGAGAAAAGACCTATGTTAATGACATAATCAAAGAAAAATTAGTGAAAAAAATGGCTCTGAGATTGAGCAATGCAGATGAATTCTGTAATTCTTGGGATAAGAAAAATATTTGGGGCCATTGTGAGGGTGTTTTGCCA